TGCAGTTTTGGAGGTTGGCTGAAGCTGGGCACTGGTGGTGGGATGCTCTGGATGAGTGTCACACTGCAGGGAGTACAGGAAAGGCTCTGGTTTGCTTTTATAAACAAAACCAGAGAGGGCTGCACTGTCAAAGGCCTATTTTTGACCAGGGAACCAAAGCAGACAACTTCTTGCCTTTTATCAGCACAGCGAACCGGCAGTCCCTGGAGTCAGTCGGTCTGCGAGATCCTAGAGGGAGGCAGCCAGGAACCCAAGAGGGACAACAGCCTTGGTGGGCCAGCCTAAGCACAGAGTAAACAACTCTGAGACAGAGACAGCTTCAGACAGATGTCTGGGGATGTCCATGGGCTACCAACCTCTCATTTTGGTCAGGATCAGCTTTATTAAATCTGTTTCTACTTGCCTTCTGAAGGCATGCAAGTCACCCACTGCATCCCTCTGCCTGGGTTATGGGTGCTGGGGCTATATGTGCAGCCTTCCTCTGCTGCAGCAACATTTGTCCTTTCCCCACAGGCTACAAGGGTAGGAGAGTTTTTATTAGTTTTCTGATAATACCTGGCACTACAGGGAAATACTGACTTGCTGTCACAGTCTTGGAGACCAAACCTTCATCGTATGAATGAAGGACAGAGAAACCAATATGAATCACTGAGTGACTGGAGAGTTTAGTGTGCCTATCACTTCATTTTCAAGGATGGCTTTGTTATTGCAAAACATGTGTAAAGAATCACACAGCAGCTCAGTAGTGCTGCTGTCACAGCAAATTCATTTTCTGCAGAAGAGAGGAAGAGAACAGCAGAGTTATATACACTTGCAACCAAATCTGTCCCTGGTTATCACTTCTGTCTCAGCAAGAGCTGACATCCTGCCTGCTAAGAACATTATCAGAATAACGACACGGAGAATATTGCTGTTGAACAGCCTATTTTCAGCCAGCTGCATGGGGAAGGCATTTTGTAAACAACGTGTTTGGGCGTTGACAGAATTAAACACAAATAACCTGAAGTTTCCACTGACACCAATGTTAAGATTAAAATTCCTGAGTGCCAGCTGCCTGACACAGATGTTGGCCAGGCAGTTCTCCTACTTCCCACCCAGCTCAGAGCTCCTTTGCTGCTACCATGTCTCTGAGTGCAGCCTAAGAGCCCTGCAAAGCCATCAATGCCACCAGCTTGCTGCCAAGGGGATACAGCAATGCTGTCCTAGCCCAAACCTGAATTGACATCCACAACAGAGTTTGGAGCTCAGCCAGCTAATATTCTAATTATTTTACACTAAGCTTCCAATTCTTCATTAGAGCAAAAGGCCCTCAAAGACTATGATGATACCAGCACCTCTGCCTATGGCAGAAGCTGGGAAGGACACACTGCTGTTCTGCAGGCACAAAGAGCCACACAACCATTGCATCAGCAGCTCAAACTTTAGATACCCAAGAGTGACAAGTACTTGACAAATCCGACTACTCTTAAAATTATAATACTTTTTAGGAAAAAAGCAATCTAAAACCCCACCCACCTGATTTACACAGTTCAAAGTCAAATGATCACTGTCCCAGCATGGTGAAGCCCAAATGAATCATCCAACTGAAGAATCAGGGTGCTGTGAGATATAATTGTTTTACCTTATCTGTGTCCATTTCCTAACTCAGAAAGAATGAGAAACCGACACCAACTTAATTCAGCACTATTCATAAATTGTATCAGGATATACTTGGATATTAAGGTAAACTCAAAATTTCAGAGATTAATGCAAGGAGCAAATCTGCTCCAAGCGAAGTGTTTTAAGTGAGGTTATGGGTATATTTTACATATGTGATATATATATGGGTGTGTGTATATATATATATATAAATGTGTATATATATATATTAAAAACCAGACTTGGGTTTTAAGTGAAGCAATGGTCAACTCTGTCTGTGAACATCTCCCTCATTCTGGAGAACATGGCAAGATTTCCTCTCGGTATTCGAGAGCATGTATGGAGATCTGCATTCATACCATAAGGCATTCAGAGGAGAAAAAACACTCTGTTCTGGTGACAATCTGTGCATGTTTTCTAAAGCATGGTTTTAATAGAAAGGTCAGTTCTATCACATGGTGTACAATTCTGTAGTGTGTAAATACATGTTCTTAAATAAGCAAGGAAATAAAAGTGTCACCTCCTCTTAGTCCTCTTTGAACATACATTATAATGACATCTCACCACTCTCCTGTTATAAAATCATCATTTAAACACACAGTCTGGTTATCCATTTAATTATCTCTTCCAAACCTGGATTTAGCCAGCCAGATAAAAATTACTTGCTCACGGTATAAAATCCCAGTGGAATTCTGCCCAAGGACTGTGGGTCGGACTCTTCACACTCTCTCTGCTTTAATTTGTATGTATTTTATAGTACTAATTTCACTGAAACTTGAGTAAAGCTAAGCCAGTCAGATGCTTGTGAGAAATTAGTTATCCAAACTTCGTAATTCATACGCTTTTAACTGTGTTTAATTGTTGAAAATAACAAATTCTGTTGGAGAACAAAGCAAGTAAAAGAAAAGCCAGTAAAAAATGGAACGTTGCAGTACCATTTGAGAAAATTTAGCAAAAGTTACCAAAACTAAGTATCTGATCCTTATTTAGCAAATGACTCAAGAAATCATTATACAAATTCATTGTTCATTACATTCTACTTGTCTTTAATTTTCACTGTTCAACATTAACATCAGACATCGTAAAGGTATGCAACATTTATATAAAATTAAATAACAATATTGGAAAAATAAATACACTTTTACATAAATACATAAATCCATACTGCTGAAAAGTTTCAGCTAATACTATACTCTTGTTTCAAAAGTGACCAAGAAAATATGGTAGTGACACTCCATCTCAACAGATGAAGTATGTACACAGCTACAGGATGATGTTTGCAACCAATGGCAGAGCTAAAGCAAATCCAGGTGACACCACACTAAAGGAAAAAAATTTGGCCGTTACTACCTACAGTAGTAGCACGAGGTAGACATACACATGGAGTGTTCTGCTGGAGGGACACGAAGCCCTGTGGACCCCATAGATGCTTCTCAGTCTTCAGACAGCTCTGGGGTCCCCTAGGTCAGAGCCCAAGGACACCTCGGTAAATAAGACTGGAAAATCAAGTCACTTTGTGGCAGCAATCGGGGCTCAGACCCTTCCCCTGTGGAGGCCCAGGGCTGGGAGCCCTGTGGGTGGCTGGAAGAGGTACCACAGGCAGGACAGCATGTCCCTGCCCTCCACCTGTCTGCCTGACACCCCACCCGCTCCCAGGAGAGCGAGCAAGGACAACCCACCGAGGTTAATACGACTGAGTCGAGTCAAGGGAAATTTTTCCTGGGTGAAGAGAAGACAACTCAAAACCAAACTAGAGGACTGCACCCTGCCTTTCCAACAGCGAGGAGCAGGCACAGACCTGGAGCCTGCTCCTGAAACAGCTGTGAAGAGGCTGAGTGACACCGGAATGCCACACAACTCTGCCCACACCTTTGGTTCTTGCAAATGGTCCAGCACAGGTGGCCAAGGTTGGCAGCACCTCCCAGCTGGTAAATCCTGCAGGGCAGCCAGTGCACAGGTAGCCAGCTCTGCTTACCTCCCCCGCTTCTTGTTAGCACCAGCCAGATCGGCGGACAAGGGACATATTTTAGCACCTCAAATGAAATATTTCATAGCACGGTTGCTTGTACTGGTGAAGCACCGGATAAACACCAGTTCAGCAGTTTTATGGCTATTGCAGAACTCACTGAGGTATGATAAAAATATAGAGGAGTGCTACTGAGGCATCCACATCACTGAAAGCATCCGCAGAATGAGAGGTGGTTTTGGCAAGACAGCTTTTCAAACTGTGACAATTAAGGAAGTCCAATACATTACAAACAGGCCTCTTTTTGATTTTCCTATAAAGTGCTTTTGAGTCAGACTGTTTTTTTTTTTTTTAAACTTCTTCAAATGCTTTTGTAACAAAATACACAATAAAGATTGACACTTGTTTAAAGGCCACTCCAAAACAGACAGGTCTGTGGTTTCCAGCGCTCCAGAAGCACCCCAGATGGCACTTGCCTTGGTGCAGGGCTCAGAGCAGGGGGTGCTGCTCTGGGCAGGGGAATTTCAAAGCTGTGGTATCCAAAATAGCACCCCAACCCTGCAGTTCAGGGCTGCTCTGCCCTCACAAGAGCATCTCTGTAGCAGAGTCCTCCAGCAGCAAAGGAGCAGTGTAAGACACCTCTGCTGCAAACGCTATTTTGTTATTGGAAAACTCCAAGGGTTTTAAGCCTTCTAGCACCTTGCTGATCCTTTGTTGACTTAATGATAGAGCAGCAGCTGGAGATCAGGCTAGGCAATCACTCTCCAGAACCAGAGAGATGCACAAGGATAGCTTAGAGGTGCCTTTGCACTGTACATCACACTCGTATTACATACACAGGAACAGAAAATAGAGCATGGGTGTGAATGCACACGTTTCTGTATAGGTCTATGTGTGGGCAGGTAGGGACATGCACACACATCTGTACACACTTGCACATGATTGGGAATTGATGCAATTTAGTACATTCTACCCAGTCATCTTGCTTTTGCAGAGAACACACGACTGGTAAACCAGTAGGTGCACAGTGCAGTATTACCATTAAAGAGCAGAACAATTTAACTTCAATGGTAATGTGCTGCTTGAATGCCAGGTTTAAATTCATATGCAAAGAACTCAGTCAGAACCAAGATTCACAATGCACAGCGCTCGCACAGTGTAATAAAATGGACAAAGGTGGCTACTTAGCAGAAAGTGCCTTTTAAATTAAAAGACTTGAGCTCCTCTAATGTAAGCCCTTCCTGAACAGGTGTTATTCTGAATAAATTGTCAATAATCCTCTTTAAGTGCAGTTTTAAGACATGAAGCATTAGCACCTTGGTTCGAAGCAAATTAAATCTGTTGTTATGGGATATCCACAAAAGCGTTCACAAAGAGAAAGAGTTTATGGTCGTACCGAGCTCCAAGGACCAGCGCTCCAGGCAGCATCTCTAGGACAGTCCTGCACATTGCACTGCTCTCTGTCCGGTGGCTTGTCAAGGATTTCACAGCTCAGATCCGTAAACCTTTCTCCGTTGGGGCGCTGGCACACCACCAGCCGCGTTCTTGTCCCTCCCCCGCATGGCTTCGTGCACTGGAAGTCAGCAGAGGACACAGCAGTCACCACCGGGGCAGCAAAAATACTGCTGACCAGCTGCTTGGAGCACTAGCACCTCAGAAGACCCAGTGGTTGTTTCTGTTCCCAACCAACCCACTCCAGCCAAATACCCCCCCAAATGCTTTGTGAGACTCAGAAGGGGCATCAGCTGCTTCAGCTTCTCTCTTCCTGAAGCTGTTCACGCTGCTCCACCGTGATCCCGCCAGACCCAACATGATACTGGAGGCTTAAAACCTCCAATTGCTCATCTCAGATGAATTTTCAGAAGGGAGCAGTGTTTTTATTAAAAAAGAGGCCTTATGTTAAACTAGGCTTTTCTTAAAAAAAAAAAAAAAAAAGTCTTCCTTTTTGTAGAATTTGCTTTTGCTCAGGAAGAAAATTTTCCCATGACAAATGGAAAGGAGAACAACACCAAGCAGTTGCTAGGGCTTGCTCATTTATCAGAGGCTGCCTTTCAAGTTCCAATCTTTCTAATAAATGTCACCACAATATCCCTCTCTTCTCCCATTTTTCAGCCACCCGCTAATGAAAGTCATCCCCTGTGCTGGGAGCTCAGGATGGATGGAGCACTCACCTCTCCCCAGTTGCCATAAGCCCACTGAGGACAGGGGCCAGATTCGCACGATCTCTGCTCCATGGGTTTGCTTTTCTCATCGCAGTTATTTGCGGTATATCCGTTTTCATCCTGGCACACCACGACCCGCCGCTGGAACCCCCCCGCACACGTGCTAGAGCACTGGAAGACACAATTGCCCACAGCTTCGTTGAGTCCAGGAATAAGTCTGCATTCCCAGCTCCTTCCCAGTGCCTTTGCACCGTGGGAATGCACCGCTAGAAATTTAATACAGCTAACAGGCATAACTGAACTTCAAACCCCAGCTATTATTAATAGCAGCGCAATGACTTAGGTGCTGACTAAGCAAAGAAAGTAAACACCAGCCTCAGTTTTAAGCAGGTGAGTAATCCCCACCGACTTTAATGCAGTGTTTGACATCCCATTTGTGCTTAATTCTCTTTAGGGACTTGCATGCTAAAGCACTGCATACTGGTTTGGAGTGAGAGGAGCTGGCATTGAGGCTCCGCTGTGCTTTGGCAACAACTCTGCACAGCTGTAAACATCCCGGGAGACAGCCAAGAAGCAGAGCTTGGCCTTTGCCTCATGGAAAATGATGCTTTCAGTTTTCTGCCCAGAGAGCCTCGGAGATATGAGGTGTGAGAGGCTGAGAGGTGAAGCCTGAGCGCTACTGCAACACTCGCTTCTGTGAGCAGAGAATGGGGAGAAGGGTTCCTCTTTTCCCTGCACGGTGACTATAAGGAAAGACCAGACTAGTCCAGAAAGAAAACCAAAACCAAACAGCAAAACCCAGCAGTAAGAAAACCAGGGCACTTACAGCACCCCAGGGGCCAATCCTCCACTGATTGCCTCCAGGTATATGAGCTCGGTTTCGGTTCGGGCTGCCCCCGGGGTGCAGCTTCAGGCGATGATCCGGATAGAGGAAAGGGTGGATGGGCCTGCCGTAGTCATGGCTGTTTGGATGACAAGGAGACATGGAGCAGTCTTGCTCGGTGGCAGGGAGGTCGTCTGGGTCACACTCACTCCTATCCACCAGCTGGTCACTGTAATTGACGCAGATCACTTGTCGCGTTGCCTTACCTTGACCACAAGTCACCGAGCACTGCGTTACAGTGGGAAAAGGAGACAGTCACATTTCCAGCTTTGAAAACCAGAAAGACAGCTATTGCTAACAACAATCAGCAGAAAACCTTAATGTCCTCACTTATAGAAGGGCAAGTGTGACAGATTAATGAAGCACATTTCCAGCAGTGAGGTCTTTAAGGCTGTCCTGCAAGAGACAGCGTGATGCTTACAGAGCTCCACTCCAAGGCTTTCCATTGCCCACATGGTGTCACGGTGCACATTTCTGTAGCTGATGGCTTTGGAAGGTGAAAACAAGCTGCCTCATCGGCCACGGAGCCCTGGTCATCCCGACAGCTGACGTATCTCATCCGGGTACCCTTCCCACACGTAGCAGAGCACTAGGGAAGAGCAATGAGCACTCTGCTAGGCTGTTTCCTGATATACAGTGCAAGGACTTTGGAATGAAAAGTTGCTTAAATACACTTAAAAAAAAAATCATATTGTCTACTGTAAAATAATCCCGAACGTATTATAACACGTGCTTACCGGTGTCCAGGATCCAAATCTCCACTGTGTCCTGTGAATGCCTGATATGGATCTCTTGGCTTCGGGACTATTTGGATGGGGAGGACATACAGCTATTTCACAGTCCTGTGCAGGAAATACATGAGGGAAAAGTGGTAAATAAAGAATTTGCAGATGTTTTGCTTAAACCACCTCCTCTTCAATTTAATTATGAACAACACGCAACATCTTGAAACTCTGGGACCTGCATGCCTGTTTGGAGGGAGGTTTTCTCCTTGCATCCTTTTGGTGAATCAGGAAATCCGGTATCAACATCCCAAGGCCTTCATATGCAGAACCCTCCGTGGACTTTTGACTTATTAGGAATGCTACAACAGGGATCCCCATAACCATGTGCCATCTCCACGCATTAAAACCAGATGTTTTTGAGGCAAAAGACGAAAGTTCATTAAGAGTTCTGGTATGAACACACATCTGCAAATCAGCAACTTTATCTCCCTTCAAAGCTCCCTTCCTTCAGCACGAGACCTGCAGCCCACACAATAAAGGTTATGCTGCTGATTGCAGCCCTTTGATTCCCTGCAGCCCACCAGACCGCCTATATCCATGTGCTGATCTTCACCACACACCAAGCATGTGAGGCTTTGGGGACAGGCATGTCATTCCGCTCAGTCCTGGTACAGCGCCTCACAGGAGGGCTCTGGTCCTGTCTGGACCTCCTGGGAGGTCTGGCGACAGAAATGATGGATAGCCATGACTTTACTCCATGAGTAGTCCTTGCCAAAAAGGAAATTAATACTGATTGTCCCCGCGAGGGAGAGCGCGGCTCCTGACAAAGGGCATACATGATTTCTGTGATTTCACTGACACTGGAGACATGCATGCCAAATGATGGCTGATGACAAGTGGGTTTGTTACCCCTTGACTGTAGTGCAATTGGTCTCCATACATGGGAAACACAGCTTTGCTGCAGAAAGGTGTCCCCCTGATGCTACAGCCTGGATGCCTCCATAGGCATGCTGGCAAAAGATGGAGCCAGGGCAGCAGGATTTACCTGGGTATCTGTTGGCCTGGTTGCAGCGTTACACTCGTTGTCATCCACCACTGACACATAGGTGCCCACAACACACTTCACTGCTCTCATCTGATAGCCTTGGCCACAAGTCACTGTGCACTGGGAGAGGAGAGAAGGGAGAAAAGAGTGCTGGGTCTGAGTAGCTGCTTCGGTTAGAAAGTATTAATCAGTCCAGACTGTATTTAGGCACGCAGCAAGAGCAGCAAAAATAAAACACAGCTTCCCTTCTGGTTTCTCTCCACTTCATGCATTTCAGCTTTAAATTAGGTCAAAGTTTTAACTCAGTGCGCCCACCAGTGCCTCACACGCTTCACTTGCTTCCTCGGGAATGAAGGTGTGAGCATTGAAATGATTTACTTTGTTGCACACATTAGAATCAGAGTCTGGTAGAACCTGCATGATATCCTTCTTTAAACCTGGTTGTTCAGCCCCATGGTAGCATGAGCAGCTAATGAATAATTTTGCTGATGGGAAATATGCCTGACTGGGGCAACTGGTCTGGGTTTGTTGCTGTTTTTTTAAGTCAAGAGCTAACAGCTTTGTGGAAAAGCAGATGCCAGAACACTCTGGGAGAAATGAGCAACTTGTGTTTTTAACAGGAAAAAAACCCCTTACCAACCCAGAAACTGGAAAACATTAAAAGCAACAAAAGTTATTCAATGGGGGCAGCTTTTCTGTGAAAATCAGGCCATGTATTTATATGCCTAAAAATGGATTTAGGAACGTAACCTTGGAAACCCCTTTTTTTTTTTTTGAAAATCACGGCCAATTTAGTATGACAGAGATTAAATTTAGCACAAAGGGCAGGTACTGTTATTGCTGCCTATCCGCTGAACCCAAGCGACCAGAGGGCTGCTTTGGTGTGCAAATCAATTAGCACAGTTATGCTGCTGAATTTGGATGAAAGGGCAGCGCCCAGGCCCAGCCACCCTCGCCCAGGTCCCACTGGCTCGGAGCCCCACGGGGCTCTGCAGTACCTGGCCCCACGGCCCCACTTGCCACGAAGCACACTCCTGCTGCTGGCACGTCTGCACCGACTCCGGCTTCGTCTCGGGATCGCAAAACCTGTCATTTAATCGATCTTCTCCAAACTGGCACCAGGTCTGGCGGTGCTTGTGCCCTTTTCCACAGGTGACCAAGCACTGAGAGGAGAAAAGAGCAAGCTCAGGCAGCGCCGGGGCTGCGCTGCCAGCTCAGCACCTGCAGTGGCACTGAAAAATAAACCTGGAGACCCACTGCAACCACTGCTTAAAAAAAAAAAAAAAAAAAAAGTGGTGCCAAGAGGCAGTTCTTTAGCTAACAATAACGTGTCCTGGAAGACAGGTAAGTGCCTTGCAATTAGACAGGAATGCTCTCAGGAGCTGGTCCGGAGCAGAGGCTGGAGCATGGAGAGCACAGCCAGGCTGAGACTCTTCAGCACAGGCAGAGTGAGCCCACAAAGGCTCATGTCTTCCAGCAGCTGTAAGACATAGGGCAATGGCACAGCACTGTCCTGCGGGGTTTTAGCTGTGCACAATGGGGTGCCAAAGGCTTCTGAAAAACTTGCTCAGCTCTGGGAGTGCATGTTAAGGGTCTTGGCTTCTGTGGGCTGCAACTGCCCTGGAGTGGCTTGGCCTGGCAGCAGCTTGACTCAGAAGACAGATGTTTTGCAGAGAACAATCCCTGTTCCACTTAATTGGTTTCATTACATCCTAAAAGAATACATCTCACAGAAACGAGCTATTTGGCCACAAAGGTGACGAGCAGCCTTTGAAGACTGTTCTCCAGCATCCCCAGTCCTACTGCAGGAAAAGGTCTATCAAGATACGATTTTGTTGCATTGCAAAGGACACCAGCAGCAGCAGAAGAGGTAATAAATGACAGGGAGAGGCTGAGCAGGACATCAATAGGGTGAAATCCTGCCCTCCAGCGACAGCCAGAGCTGCCAGGGCTTCTGAGGACAATCTCAAGGGAAAACAAGGGCAGAAGGTATTTTTCTTCCGAACGTTACAGAGGAACTGCAGAAAAACTAGGGAGAAATTACTGCAGGACTGGAGAGGAATTAAGCCCCTGGTGGCTTTGCAGAGAGGGAAGTGGCCACTTGACCAGTGGTGACAAGGCCAGTGACTCTGCTGCCTGTCTGAAGCCTCACTGTGCACAGGCTCGGAGAGACCTTCTGCAAGTGGCACAAACAAATCACAGGGGACGAGCAGGGACAGGGATATCCCTTTGCAGACACCAGCCCCTCAGGGTAGAGGGCTGGCACCCACCTCGGACCAGTCTCCAGTTTTCCACTGGGGGCAGGAGAAGTCGCTGCACCGCTGCACCGTCAGCTTCTCCTGCTGGCTGCACTTGCTGTCGTCCAGGACGTCGTTGTAGGTGTTCACGCACATGGCTCGGCGCCGCCGCGTGCCCCCGCCGCAGCTCTTGGAGCACTGCCAAGGACAGACAACAGGTAAGTAGTTTTTTGCCCCTCTACTGCTGTTGCCTTTCTCCCCTCTTCACAGCCAGGACTGCGGAGTGACTGCAGAAAACCTCCGGAAGAACAATTTGTACTCTAAGTAAAAGGCTTTTACTTTATGTATTCCTTTAAAAAGCCAATCTTGCTAAAGCTTAATATAATGTCGCGGCAATGCGTTTCACAAATTTATTTCAGGTTATAACCCCATTATTACTTTTACAAGTGTTGCCTTTCAGTTCTCCTAAATGGCTGCTGCTCGCTCTCATTTTAGGAGAGATTAACTCTCTGACCAGCCAGCCCCCCCTCGCCATGACCTCCCTGGAAAGCCCCAGGCTCGTCAATCTCTCAGTGCCAGGCCTGCATTCATGAATTTTCTTGTTCACACAAAAACTAAAATGTGTTAAGGAAACAAATTTCTGAAGTCCTCTGCTGATGGCACCCTGTCCTCCCCAGCTCCTGGCAGTGGTGATGGCTTTGACTGGAGAAGACAGCTAGCAGCGCTTAGTGTAATGAGGGCAGACCTTGGGATGCTTAAAAAGCATAAATTAATTGCAGGGGAAAATAAGGAGTACCAGGCTGATTTAGACTACGGTGTCCTCCAGAAAAAGGACTGGAAGAAGAATCATGGCCAACTTTTACATACGCGCTGTTTGCAACCTAAACAGCCCGACGCACCCCTGTGCAAGGGGGAGGCAGCGCTCGCCGTGCCAGTGAGCATCCCTCACCTCTGTCCAGGCCGAGTACCGCCACCCTCCCACGTTACAGTCTCCAGTGCACTTCTCCCTCGTGCTGGGCTTGGGCTGGCTGCTGCAGAAGCGGTCGTCCACCTTCTCTATCTTGCCCTCCAGCCTGCTGTACTTGGAGCAGTAGATCTCCAGGACGCGGTAGCCCAGCCCGCACTGCGCCGTGCACTCGCTCTTCCTCGCGATGTGCCACCTGCACCGAGGAGAGCAAACATCAGCTCTGGGGTTCCAGCACTCTGCAGGTAAGGTGCTTGAGGGTGTTTGACATAAATAGGGAATATATGCTCTTGAACTGGAAGTTTTTGCTCTTTGTAACACTTCCCAATGCTTTGCGACTTCCAAAAATCGGAGGCAATTAATCCTGGCATTGCTCCTTGAAGGGAAGGAGCTGTCGCCAGGTCCCTCTTGCAGACAGTGAAGTCACACTGTGACCCTGTGGGACCAGCCAAGGTGGTGAGGGGTATCTGTGGCCAAGCAAGGCGCAGTGCTTTGAATGCTTTCCACTCCACGCTCCCCTGCAGGAGTGCCACCTCAGCCTCTAAAACTAAAAGCTGGAAAATACAGCATCAGAAAATGACCTGCACACTCTTGAACTGTGTTCCACATGGCAGGACACCTGCAAAACAGTCTCAGCACAAAGGACAAACAAATGACTTGCTACGAGACACTTGAGCCCCAGTGGTGTCAGTGGGGATTTAGAGGTGTTCCCTCTCGACAGACAGATTTCCACCCTGCTGCCTCCTTCCTGGGATGGACAACAAGGGTTGGTGCTGGTGGCCCTCAAGGACCCACCTGGGGATACAGTCCTGCTTCATATCAGCCCAGCCCTGGCAAGAGATGCTGGACACGAGGTCTGATCCAGGGAGGTGCTGGAGACCCTGAAGCCAACAGGAGCCTGTTGCCCCTCAGACCTGGCAGGGGTGTCCCCTTGGGGACCTGGAGACCCTCAGGCTGTTGCCAGTGCCTGTATGGGACGTGCAGAGCCCCACTCCCAAGCCAAGAGAGCAAACCCGAGCACAGCCCAGAGAAGAATAAGATCAAGGGGATTTGGAGTCAATAGCTCCTGACTGGTGGGAGCCTCACATCCCTGCCTGCTTTTCAGACTCCTGCGTTTGCCCTTCTCAAGTTTCCAACCTGTTGCAATGGCAACAGCTGTTACCGCGACAACCCGACCCTGCACAGCCCCTGCACGGTCCCGGTTTAACAGAGCCAGAGAAACCCCTCGGGAAACTCGGCCATCTGAATTGCTTCACCAGCAGCCGCTTAATGCCACCGTATTTAAGCCCCAGAAAGGAAAACACATTGCTTTTTAAAGGAAAATGGGTTGTGATGATTTAGGCCGTGCTCCATCATTCCAGCACGCCAGAAATTGTCTGGGGACATCCACAACCCCACTCTACACTAAAGCCTGTTCTTTGCTTTAAATAAATGATGATAAATTCAAGTATTAGTTACTTCTTTGCTTTAAGTATATGTTTTTCCATCTTTGCAGGCTGTTTGTAAGACGGTGCTGAGCATTTCTGACAGGGGCAGACACAGATTTTAGGCGCTGTACTGCACCGGGAGATTTTTCAACATCAGGAGCATTTTTGTTATAGTTAGTCCTAATTTAATCCAACAAGAGAAATGTGAAAATGCACAGCTGTGCCTCTCAAAACACTGCTGGTGGATGACAATCCCTCTTGGTTGACAAAGAGGCAACTACTAATCCTTTTCGTTTTTAAAATCTAATACAGGCTGGTGAGAAAAGGAATTGTGGTGAGAGGTGAAAGGAAAGAGTAAACAATAAATACACAACGTAATGTATATACACAGCTGAGCAGAGTGTACCTTAATTCACATTCTGTGTTACAAGGCTCGGTGGCGGGATCAGGCTGTGGAATTCGATCGCATCGCTGGTCTGACACCGTGAGCTGATCTGACTCTCTCTTACACACAGGTTTCCTTTTTCTTTCTCCTGCACAGAGAAAACCATCACGTTGTTTGTCATGCAGGAGTGATCAATTCAGTTATTTCCCTTACACCTTTTATAGGAGCATTTAAGAGGTGTTCAGTTGTGCTTCTCCATCTCTTTCAGAAAGAGGGAGGGGGTTACAACTAAGCAGAGCAGAAGGGGTTTATTGCTGAAGGAATGGACACAGGAAGAGAGCTGCAGGTGGGCACTGGCAGGTGGCAATGATTGGATATCAGACCCAAACCCAGACACTGATGACTTCTGCAGCCTTAGCAAATGTATGTAACTTTTTCTGTGCTTCAGCTTCCTCACTGCAGACCAGGTTGTGAGGCTCACCTTGCTCAGAGGGGCTGTAAAGTGCCCTGCTCTGAAACCCATAAGCATCTTGTAAAATGTTATCTACTACTGAAGCCCCGTGAAACAATCACACCCGTAATATTGGAATTCAAAGAAATCAGAGAGGGATCTCATAGCCCTGCCCAAATCCCAAACGAATCCAGGACAAAACTTAGCCTTCCCAAACACCCACCTTGGCAGAGCTTACTGCAGGACTGCCACGGGCCATGCTCGTTCCAGTAAAACTGCTGAGGTTTGTCCTCAATGGGGATATTAAATGTGTAACGAACGTCAGGATTGTACAAATTGCCAACTGATAAAACCTGAGAGGAAGAAAAATGATGCAGAGTAAACCAACAGAAATCACTGGCCGCTATTTTCAGTCCAGTTATGCTGGGCAGACTTTTCCATACACACAACATATACTTCACCTGGAGCGTTATTTCTTGCTCAATCCGATCTGTAGAATTAATCCTTTCAACAGTATTATCCGATCCACTGTATTCGATCACAGCATTCCCAACTTTGATTTCCCTTTTAAACATACTGACGACAAAGTCTCCATTTAATATAAAGTCTCCTTGACTGTTAGATAAGGCTGCATAGGTGCAAAAAACAAGAACTAAAGAAGCAGAATTAACTCATACGTACATAATAACGAGGGTCATGCGCTCTCAGTGCTGCTTTCCTTTGGGGCTGGGAGGAAAAGCCCACTAGCACTCTCAAACAGAAAGGATGTAAAGAGAGCAGCAGAGCTCTTGCAGACATTGTTCCTTCTCCTTTTTCCACTGGAAAACCTCATTAAAATGAAGGCTGAATGCCTGAAGTTGTGGCTGAACAGTTCACCCATAACCCAGGGCAGAGATATCCAAAAGGCTGCTGTACGGAGCACACACAGGCTGTATCCCCTCATATACCACAAAAATAATCCTGTCCAAACCTTTTCATAAGGTTTGTGTGGATAGGGTGGCTCCCTTGTTGTTTCTAGGTGTGTTCTTAGGGTAAATGTTTGTGCCCTAATTGCCTAAACATCATTTTCTAGTAGATAATTTCAGGGAGTTTGGTCAGCATCTCCCCCTCTCTCTCCATCTCCCTCCTCCCCCCACACTTTTTATTATTTCAAATCTTAAGGTATGTGAAAGCACTGAAGGCTTAAAGCCTAAATGCTTTATAAAAGGAACAGTTTCCTGAAAACAGCAGTCTGCTGCACAACTTCACACTAATGCGATTATGTAGCTAATTTCCTAAGTTAGTTTCCCCACCATTTCACCCATCACAGCTACGTTACTACAAAGCCCCTGTACTGAAAAATCTAAACTTAACACCAAAACACCAAAGGCAAGGTTTTTCCATCGAATAAAGAGAGATAATGAAGCAAAACACTGCTCGATAGCAAACAGACATAGATGGAGAAAAACTCACAAAGCAAAGGCTATACTCAACCAAACCCCACACTTTGGAGGCTTTGCTGTTATTAGGCAGTAGTAAAACTCACTAAAGGGTTCCTTCCTGTTTACTGTATCTCCTACAAGAGTAGGTACATGTCTTGGACTTGGTGACAACATCAAATTCCTCCTAAACTGTTAAGCAACTACAAGGTTCACAGTACCAAGGGCCCAAGATTTCACACTCAGTGAGCTGCAAAATAAGTGGACACATGCACACTTCTCATTTACTTCTAGTCAGGCCTAATGTGAAGAGATGCTTTCCCAGCAATATTAAAGCAACATTAAAGAAGATTTGACTTCATTGCTTCCCAAGAAGATTAAAGGCCCTCCAAGAAGAGCTGGGAAGTTTGGGGCTCCTTCTGGGGTGAACCAGTTTTAATAGGCACAACATGGGGAGGATTGCTTTTTCCAGGAAAGAGGAATAAAAAAAAATCCCTTCCACAAGAGGGAAAGCTATTACACCACAGTATGTTTTTTTTTGGTGCTGATGTGCATTCATGTTGCACCATCTCATTTCACTGATGTGAATGTGCAAAGATGATGTGACGCAGCTGTAAATGCACAGAGAGCCCTGCAGCGTGCCCACCTGCGAATGGGGACAGGGAACACCCACTTAGCTTTTTGTCTCAATAAAGGGTCCAGAAATAGGATGGTATTACAGAGCAATAGCCAAAGCTGTCACCACTGTTTCCCTTTGGTGCATGGTAGTCTCCTCTACTTGCTTCTCAAGTGAGTCCTTTTACCTTTGATGGGGACCACCAGCCTAGTCATGTTTTCAACATACCCAGTTACAGGAATTTTGCAGTATAAAACAAGATGAAGTGCCCTGTTCAGAGATGTAAATACAGGACCAGGCACTACTGGAGCACAGCTGGTGGTGCCAGGCACAGGGCATGTAAAAGAGGAGGACCAGAGACTCTGAGGGACCCCAAACAGGACTTAATGGCAAAAACAGCCTTCAGCTGGCAGGTGTAACATCAGCCGTAATGTGCACTTGTGTTATCTCTGCTATTGAGCCCAAACAGAACTATGGGGTGAATTACTGATCAGCATGGTGGAAGAGAGACTCAAGGCCATGCTAAAGTATGTGTATGTGCAGCAGAGTGGTCTGACAGAGCACCACAGGCATGTTCATCTGCCTCTAGAGGCATACCCATAGGTTAGAGAAAACAGTGACTACAAGAGTTCAACAGCTAAAGGCCAAGTTATTGTTAGGTTTACATCAAAACTGGTATTTTTGGTGCAGGGTATTTCTTTATGGGTACATATCACTGTCAGGGACAAGAAGGGCTCAACCTAAGTGACATCAGAATTATTATTCTCAGAAGAACAGAAAATAATTTCTCTATGTGTTTGTACACACATCTTTCAGGGCAGGGCATATTTACTCTCCAGCCAAAGAATGGTGACAGCAGAGATCAGAAGTCTGTTTGGTTCCCAGTTTTGTGCCTCAGCTCCCATCCACAGCCCAAGCTCAACAGTCTTTCTCAGCCCTACACACACCCTAAGGGGGTATTTCTTACAATCTGTGAACCTCCCAAACTTCACATCTAGAATGGCATGCACAAAAAAGAAGGAAGAAAATAAAGCTGAATGTTTGGCAGCCGTAGATAAATTCTCGCCAAGAAAACATTTTCCTTAAATGAATTCTTCATCCTCCCAAGCAAAGAGCAGTCAGTAGATGTATCACCACAACCAGAAAACGAGGCAGATTTCTGGACTGAAATAAGGCCTACAACTCACCCAGGTAGTTGTCATCCTCTGGTTTCCCTGAGTAACTGTGCTGACGCACATCAATATTAGTTGCACCAGCTGGGATGCGAACCACAACGTTATAGCCTAGGAAAGATTTAACAGAAAGTCAAGGCCATTACACAGACATTTCATTTGCTTTCTAGGGGGAAGGGAAATGAGCAAAATTACCTCACATTACACAAGCCAATAGTTTTCATTTAGGGATAGCATAAATAGTTATAAAATGGAATATAGTATAGCTAGAAGGATTTTGTGTTTTACATCAATGTTTTTGTAGATCAAGTGTGGTAATGGCTTTTATAGACCCACATTTTTCACTATAAAGTTTTTAGCAACAGATTCTTACCATAATGCACCGTGTTAAATGTGCCTGCAACAGTTTTACATGAAGAATTATCCCCACCACAAACGCCACATTTATCTCTTCTTGCTTTTGAATTCAGCACATGATCACATCCAGCTTGCTTTAAGAGAAAAATTGAAAAAAACTAGATTGAGCAAATACAGACTAGAACAGAATTTACAAACCTCCTAATTAAGGCACACAAAAGCTGTGTATGCAAAAGGCTGCCATGAGACAAATTGTTTTGCTTCCCCACATTTTTCCACTGATTTACAGTGTGGCCATCCCACAAGGTTTTCCAACAAAAAGGCTTTTTCACAAAGCGAGGATCAGAACTGCTGTTTGCACCAGGCAATGCCTCCACTAGAGAAAAATTCTTGCATCAATTGTTCCCATAGAGAAAAGTGTGAAAAATAATTGTGAATGGAAATGTAAAGGGATCTGGGGCCTGAACAGGAAGAACTGTGGCAGAGCACAGAAGGAAGCATAATTTGGATTTAGGCTCAGACCACCACAGCCCTCAGTAACTTAGGGCAGACGTGTAAACAACCTCCACTCGAGTGTGTCCCAAGAAGAGCTGGTGAGTGGTCTAGAGTACAAGTCTGATGAAAAATGGCCAAGGGAGTTGGGGGAGCTCAGCCTGGAGAAAAGGAGGCTCAAGGGGAGACCTCACTGCTCTCTACAGCTCCCTGAAAGGACGTTGTAGCCAGGTGGGGGTCAGCCTCTTCTCCCAGGTAACAAGTGACAGGACAAGAGGAAATAGCCTCATGTTGCACCATGAGAGGTTTAGATTGGATATTAGGAAATAATTCCTCACCAAAATGAGTTGTCAAACATTGGAACAGGCTGCCCAGAGCTGTGATGGAGTCACCATCCTTTGAGGTATTTAAAAGATGTGTGGATGTGGCATGTAGGGACATGTTTTAGTGGTGGACTTGGCACTGCTACATTAAAGGTTGGACTTGATGATAACTTAGAGATCTTTTCCAACCGAAATGAGCCATGTGTGGCTCTCCTGTAAATCTGGTGGCTGGCACAAGTTTCAGACCAGTTGGGGTTGGCAGAGCCCAGAGATAACGTTGGCAACCCCCGGGCAAAGAGGGCCCGCCAAGAACTGCGTGGAGCACAGCGCAGAAGTGCCATCCTACCATGCGAAACTGCAATCCCCCTTGGGTGGAGAGGGTGGGAGACCATTACCCGGCAGAGGCCCTGCACGCAGATGTCGTTGGTGTCGGGGCCGCAGGGCGTCCCGTCGATGACGCGGTCCCGCAGCTGGTAATACGCCGTGTTCCCCGCCACCCGGCAGAACAACTTGCACCGATCCTTCATCAGGACTGGGCGTGGGAGGGAGGAAAACCAGAAGCATGTTATCTGAATGTCATCACCCCGAGGTGGCGACGCAGGAGGCAGGATCTGTATCCCCCCCACCACCACCACCACTTACTGCCGCTGTATTTGGGAACCCAGCGCACGTTCGTGGGCAGCCCGTTGATGTTGAAGTGCTTCCCATCGAAGTCAGCACACTGCTCGTCCCGGAAATCCTTCTTCAGCTTTGAGCACGGTTCGGTGTTGCAGGATTTGAACTTCATGCGGCGACCCACACAGTACTTCCCACCATTTTTGGGCCTGCAGAGACAAGACCAGCCTAGACATGAGATGAAATTGCAGTTCTGCACCTGCTCAACACAGTCAGGATTTGCAACACCATTTTATGGGCTCTGTTCTTAATGCATACCTTTAATTAATAGCCTAGACTGATGAGCAGGAAAGGTTATGCAGGTGTCTAACAAAAAGAGGCCATATATGTGATACTAAAAAGGGATGAAAAAGGGAATAATTGCTTTCTGCTGAATGACAAGGTAGTGAGAGAAGCAAGAGATGAAGAGCAACATCTTCCTCCTCATGTGAGGATTTATTGTCACACCAAGAGACTGATGTGGTCCAGGACCATACTTCCACAACCCCTTTGGTCCTATAAATTTGGTGGCTCAGAGTTTGCATGTGATCTAGGGGATTGCAAATAACTAAACACCACATGAGAAAGAAGAAAGGGCTTCTGTCCCTGCAGAAGCTGAAAGGCCAGGCAGCACTTAGTCCTTCAGGATTTCCAGTCCCAAATGTTAGAAATGGTAATGTTGGACACTTCAAAACAACTTATCTCCATGTATTCTAGAAAGCACCAAACATGGCCAATAAATACTTTACCTCCATTTTATAGCAAGATGACAGTGGTATAAACTGGGGAGAGAGATACCATCCAAGCCACATAAAAGCCAGTGGATAAGCCTAGGAGAAACTGTCATTTTGAATTTCCTGACTCCCAGATTCAGGACTGTAGTCATAAAACTATTTTTGTCCTCGTATGTAGATGGAGCCTTTGCCAGAAAACAGATCACTTTGGGGACTGAAAAAGCCTCTCCCATTCCAGCTGCTGTCAGCAGTGGTGCAGGAGCGAGCTGCACATCAAAACAACCACCAAACCTACATCTTCTACCCACCCCCCAACAAAACGAGTGCCAGCACTAGCAAGAAGTGCAGATTAGGAGAGCGACTCACTGGGCTTTGCTGTCCTGGCACCCACACCTCCTGCCTTCCAAGGCTGTTCTTCAGGATCAGCTCTGCCTTACCTTGGGACCAGACACCCATCAGTGGCCCAGGGATGCTGTCAGAGTGCATTTTCCCTTGGAGCCCCCTTAGGGAGGGAAGCTGGTTTGCACACTTGGAGACCCTTCAAGATGCAAATGAATGAGTGATAAATGGGAATTACCCCCGCCCCTAGCAGGGAGATGCTCACCGTGAGCATCCAGCATCTCTAACAAAAGGGACAGCATGCCCCTGACCTTGCAAGAGGGTCTCTACACACAGTGAAACAAGTTCCTGAACAGAAGCTGAACAGAATTTTTTAGCATCTCTACATATCCACCACCTAGGAAGCCCGGCAGTGCCTTTTCTCCCACAAATAACACAGAACATCTTGCCCTTGCTGAAAGATTGCCTGCAAAGCAGGGAGAGGCAGGCAGATTTCCCACCTATCCATCAGCACCACCCTAGGGATGCTCACAGGTTTGGCAGGAGTTGCCTCCTTAAGCAGCTCCAGATGAGATGCTGAGAACTACCAGCTACAAATGTGGGAATTTTTCCTGCCAGCATCCTCTGCTTGCTGAGGTCCACACTGCTGTGATGCAGACCCCTCTGGTCCTGTCCCAAATGTCAAGGGGTATGATTTGTCTTCAGGCACAGCCTGGAGACATAGCTGGTAACATCAGCTCTACCTGCTCTAAGGGCAGCTCTCATGGGCCATCGGGAAATTAAATGTGTGCCACTTGCAAAGGTTTATGGTGCTTGCAATTAAAGCAAGTGCCAGTGATAAAAAGCCCATGCAGCCACACAGTGCCCAGTGCAGATTCCTAATTACAGACTGATTTTACACCAGGTCCTAGTGGAGCAAGTCTAAGCCTGGTTTCTACTGATTTAGTCTATTCTCCACCCTGTTGTGTCAAACAACTTGAAATAACTTGATTACACCTGGGACCACTCCAGAGATAACCCAGTGCAGCGGCCCCTGTAATTGCTGGCGTTTTCCCACCACTGGAGGCTATCCTGTGGACAATTCCCAGAGCCCATCCTGTAGAGTATTCCCATGTAGGCACATTAGCTACCTCCAGCTACAAAGGGACATCTCAACAATCTCACTACACAGCACTAAGGGAAACTTAGCTGTGGCAGCAGCACACTCTAGACCTTGGTGAGTCTGTGTCGTCCGTGGGGGATTCATTTTCACTTCCAAAGCATTTAAACCACAGTAGGACTGTTGCAGTTTGACAGAGGCTCTAAGTTACACAAACCTATAAGAGGGCATTTCTTTAAAAAAAGTTGCAGTTATAACTTTTTTATGGTAATCACGTTGCTTCCAATATAAATCAATTTAATTAAAATGAAACTTTTAAATATTAAGTTAGCTACGAAGAACTTGGAGGAGCATTTTCTTTTTAAAGGGTATGTCTAACAAAATCCAAAGATCCCAAGCTTCTGTTTAATTTCCTCTTCTGTAGACATGACCCCTGAGACTGAGATAACGTTGACACACCATGAACTGAAGGATGCTAAAACTTGCCATTGTGTTGCAAACTGTCAGCTTCGTAACTGTGGCATTAAATCTCCCCTCAGACAGAGCTGGGAGTCGAAGCACACTCACACTTCTGACATTTCAAAACAGCTCCAAAACACCCTGACAGTTTTAGGATGTTTATAAACCAACATTGCTTTTCATAGTGTGTGAGGAAACAGAAGGAGTTGAACCTGAAAAATAAGTCAGCCTTATGTGACATTGATTTTCAGTGTTGGGAAGAAATACGGCATACTTCCCTCTGCGTAAGAATTTTACGGGTAATCAACAATGTACCACAGAGACAGAAGGGAAAGCAGTGCATGCCAACATGCATGACAACAGGGACATGGATGGTGGGAGCTCACACAAATTACCGGCACAAAACAACAGCCAGTGTAAAGTTGTGTGGATGGTGCTGGGACAGACACCTCCTTGTGGAAACCCTGGGAGGAGCTGGAGAAGAGAGGCCATGCCCAGCACATGGCTCATGAAAAGGGGCCTGGAAAGAACCCCTATTGATGATAAGCACAGAGGATTTCTCGGGCAGGTTGGTGCTGAGCGTATTTAGGTGCTCTTGCAAATCCCAGCCAAAGCAATACGCCTCCCAAAGCACCAAGATACAAAACACAAGCTATGAGAGAAGATGGAATTTAAAATCCCTTGGCTAGCCTTCAGGATAAAGGAGATTTTCTATCACAAAAAGCTATCAGTCCAAACAGATGCCCCTTCATAAGATGGGAATACATCTCACTGACAGCATCCAAGTTTCGGCAGCAGAGCTATTTTTGCACATGGAAAGATACTTTATTTTTGTCTCTCCATGGCTATTGGAAGACCATATGGTGTGTGCTGACTCAACACAACCAGAGGAGAACCCCTTTGCACTTGTGTGTTTCTTAGCATCATTTTAATTAACGTGCTGGTGTCCTACTCCCTAAGCTTTGACCCTGCTCTCTTGACACTTGCCCAGCTGCACTGAGCAGCCTCTCCTGTCACTACACCACTGCTGTCACAGCTACAATCTCTCCCTTCTCCTACTAGCAGTGATGAAACTGTCACTGGCACATCCCTACTGGCAACTTCCTTGGCAGCAAGCCATCCAACACCAACGATGAGAAAGAGGTGCTCAATCTTTTAAAGACCCCTCAGTGCAACCAGCCCTGCAGACTCCTCTCCTCTGTGCCTCAGTGCCAAATGGAAGCCCAGAAAACCTCCTGCCCACCTACCTTCTTCTAAAAGAAGGTAGTTAAACAGAAACCAGCACAATTCACAATTTATGTAAACAAGCTGTTTTCATACAAGTTGCTCAAGCTATTACTAATATTTTGCCAGCCACATAGTTGTCTACTTGAAGCCCACGGCAAAATTCCCTGCCATTTCAAAGAGTGCAGGATTTTGCATTCCAGTCTGACAGCAAACATTTTTGAGGTCCACTTTTTAATGGGGCACAGATTTCTGCTGAGGTTTGGCTAGTCTGCACCAGCTGAAGTGTAACCGTATAAAGGATCAGATGCAAAAGGAGCCAAAAGCTGCAAAACCAGCCAAAGCAGGAATAAAATGGTAGGAAACTGCATAAAAGCCTGCAGGAACAGCTGCAAAAGCAGCCAAAGCAGGGATACAATGGTGAAAAAGGATAAAAACATGTCTCCTTTCTTTCTCCCTCCTTTCTGAATCACAACTTTGGAGGAAGAAAAACACCTCTGGAAGTGGGATCCCAGCTGTGCCTCCACAGGAACACAGAAGGCAATAAACCCATGCAGTTATTAGATTTTTCCTTCGCTCATTGTTGAATGAGCACTTTCCCCATTTTAGAGCACTTTACCCACAAATCAAACCTGTGCCCGGCTCCTCCTTGGTTCCCATCTTAGCTCATCCATGCCAGGCAAAGCCACCCACCCCCAGGGCAGAGTCACTTGTCCCTGGGGCACACAAGGGTTTCCCCCTCTGGCACTTACTCGGGCCTGTTGCATTCCCGTATCGCCGTCTTTATGCCGCCACCGCAGGTCCTCGAGCAGGTCCCAAAAGGGCTCCATGTCCCCCACGCTCCGTCTATCACCGGTGCCTCTCGCTCTTTGGGCACACACATCCCAAACCTGCAGTGCTGTGGGCAGGGAAACATGGGAAAGGTGGGTTTGCATTGCTTTGGCATCGTGAGCCGACCAACAGTGACCAGCCTGGGTGACGACTCAGGCTGGCTTATTTCTCAACCACACACAGTGATTTTGCAATCAAATACAGCTGAACTTCTTCATATCTTTTGTGTCACCCCCATATTTTAGTTTCTCTGCACCCTTAAATGGCAAAGCGAAGGCAAGGTGCTGAGTCCATGGAATGATTTATGGGATGAAGACTGAGGACAACAGCAACCACTGAATATTCCCTGTTTACTGGTGCTGAACAGCACAGCAAAGCTCATGGCACTGGCTTTTCAAAAAGCTGCTTATCTGATTTCCTGGAGAGCTGCAGGAACTGTGCCGTGTCAGGGGAGGAGACAGGCAATGAGGAGAAACACCAGGAAAACTCAAACCTCCCCACAGCTATCCAAAGCAGGAAAGGAAACTTCCAAATCTAAAAGGCAATTAAAATAGAAAAATGAATTCCTTAATCCAAAGGTTTTTTTTTGTTTTTGTTTTTTTTTACTCAGTCATAACATGGGACTTGCCAAGACCTGGTCTACACTTTTGTTTTCTAGCTATGACTCTTGTTTTCTTCTGTATGGAAAACTGGATAGTTATCATGGCAAGCCCCCATCCCCGTTCTCATGATATAAATTGTGTCCTTTGGGATATGTTTGCTAGATTGACAACACAGACTTCTGGAGAGGTGAGGTCTAGGGGAGAGTCACCTTCTGGCCCCACCAGAGTGGATGGAAAAATGTCCCCAAGACCTGTGAGGGCAGGACTTCCCTCTCACTGAACAGCACTGGCTAAAGTGGATTTAAAGCCAGAGACATGCAGATACCTAAATCTTTGCAATTACAGGAAACCCAAACATAGCTGATTGCTCATGGATTAGAAGAGGCTACAGACTTACAGAAGAATACAAGTAGAGAGTCATTAAAATATTCCCTTGCAATATTTCTCTGCATCAAGTAGCAAAACACCTGATGGTTTATGCAGCACACTGAACACCTTTTGCCCATAATGGCCGACCTGTTGCATCGCTTTGCTGATGAAGAAAGCTGATCTTGGTGTATTTGCCCACAGGCATGGTTTGCAGGACAGCTGAAGAACTCATAGCTTGAGTCCTACATGTGATGTTTGCTCAGAGATGAGCACGGTCTTTGGGCTGCAACATGCCCCAGATTTGCTTCCATCTGAAGATTTGATTCCCCAGACAAAAACTGGCTAAAAATCATCTGCTACAGGAAAGGACAGCAATAAAATCAGCTGTAATGCCTCTTTCTTTGCTGCAGGACAAACCCTTATGATGAATGACTCCTCCTGGCACTAGGGGTTGAAAACCTGAAGGTTGGGGACCCCTAGGCCAGCCCTGTACAGGGACAAAGAGGTCCCACAACTATCATCAAAGTACAAAAACGCATGACACCAATCCAACAGAGCCTGTCCCAGAGGAGAACTTCTCACAGCAACGTTGATGCTCACAGCTAAATATATAACCAGAGTCATGCTTGGCACCACTGACCCAGAGAAGATGACTGAATAGCTAACTAGTGAATGAACACAGCTAACAGACCGTGACATGACCTATATGTTTCCCATCCCATGGTTGAGAATTAACCAGGAAATCACCTGCATCCGTTGATTTTATTAAAAAGTGGGGGGCTGGAGGTGATGGTAACTCAAGGGTGGGGAAAAGAGCAGCTGTTTTAAACAAACAGCAAGATTAGCTTATGGAAACGCAATGGTGTTTCTTGGAACCACACTGTGAACAGTGTGGCTGCGCAACCTCCGTGCCTTTCGCATTTTAAAAATAATTTCTGTGTTGAGATACAACAGAAAAACTAAAAAGCTTGCCAGGATTCTCTTTCCTATGAGCTTACAGATCACAGAACGAAGAGAATAAAAGGTGTTTTGTCTGGAGCAAATTCAAAATATCTTAAGGCGCACAGTTGAGCAAGAGAGCACTGGCAGGGATGGGAGACACTACAACAGACTTTCCTTTCCTTTGTCTTGCCACTGGAGTCCCAGATAATTCACCAAATCCAGCTCCCATCCTTGGGCTGACTGGCTTGAATAGAGTAGCAGGGGGCAGACAAGGGCTGTGAAGCTCCATGCATGCATAACAGATGCGCTACCTGCTGCCATACGGCAGGAGACACAAACGATTACTATTCCTCTACTCTTCTGCTATCATTCTCTAAGCAGCCCTGAAAACCACAAGAGAGAGAGAGAGGCCCAAATTTACGACCCTCTTTATTTTCTTTCAGTGATTTATCTCCACCCAACAATGAGCTGGTGCTGTGAAATGGTAAAACCACCACGACGGTGCTCGCCCAGCAAAGCCAAATGCTGAGCTGGGCTTATGGCTTGGTTTAGAAAGATCAGATTCAGTGTTCTCACATGCAAAATATGTGTAAGTTAATACTCCCATGTTGTTTTAGCGTCCTTGATTTAAGAGTAAATTTAGAACCCGGTTAAATCTACATCCCAGTAGTTTTAGCTCGATTTTTTTAGCTATTCAGTCTCCCTCATTTCCAAAGATATCTCCATAAAAAATGGCATGGTATTTTCTCCATCTGCCAAACCATACATCACAGGCTTTAAACACGCAGACTTGAAGCATTAGTCAGCAAGCACCAGTTTGATGGGGCTCCTGGCCACAGCAGAGTACCAAAATAGCAATTTATTCCTAGGAAAAGCACTCCAGACTTGCACCTTAGCACTTTACAAGCCCAAGTAAACACCAAAGAGGAGAGAGTTTATGATGATCCAAACTTTAACATTGAATTAGACCAACACACAGATACAAGAATTACTCTGCAAAGCCCTTTTGTGAGAACACATTCAAATGCCTGAACACAAGTAGGCTGCATTAGCTTTTCTTAAGAGCCCATCTGCTCTCAGCTGAGAAGTTCAGGTCACACTTGTCTAATTTGTCTAAACTTGTCAAATTGTCTAAATTTGTGGGCTGAAATGTTTTTGCTCACACGGTCTTTATTAAGAGCCATGCAGCTGGACACTGCCTCTTGCATGACATGGGGTAACTGAGGGAGTGCTAATCTGCTCAATTGCAGTTGTTTGCACATCACTCTGGTCACATCCAAGGGCAACTGCAGGTTTGTTGGAAGAAAATTGCAGCCCAGATTTTTGGAATTTCAAGAAAACAGTAATTTCTGACCTTCCAGCGGTGAGCAGACCCCAAGCTCACCAGCAGAGGAATTGAGGACACAAGGTCTTAAGTTGCAGGGACTCCACAGATAACTAAGCTTTCTCCTGTGTCTCAAAACACAGAGGATCTCACACAAAAACATTAGAGATTCCAACCACACATCTAATGCACATTCTCAACAATAAAACCAAACATGTTGACTGCACTTTTCCCTAAGAAAGGAAGGCAAATTGATACATGATGCTCATTGTCCTGAAGGAAATCAGCCAAGTGTCATTGAACAATCAAGTCTTCAGACACATGTAACAAAAGATTAATTACCAAAGAGTTCCACAGCCTGTATGGAAAATTATATCTAAAATAGCCTCCAGATTTTTTATTAAAATACATTTGAAAGACTATGGTTTAAAACTTTGACTCTTTCTAAAGAAAACTCATTAATATTATTATTATTGTTGATTTTAAGAGCCAGAAAAGCAAAATTTTAAGCTATACCATGTAGAATAACATCACACTATTTTTACTAGAACCAGATGGAGAATAGTTTTGTTCAGACACAAATGATGAGAAACAGTTAGCATTTTTATTCAAAAGCTTCAGCATTTCAATAAAAGAAAAATCCTCTAACTACTTTTCTCCAGATCTGAACAACTAAAAATTAAATACTTACTCTAAAAACCACAATGCTAGCTGGAAATTAACATTGCACATGGAAATCAAAAGTTTCTATGAATTACTGCCAAAATGTTCCATAGAGAAAATGTCAACCAATTCTATATTTTACTCCGAAGTTGTCAAGATGAGAAGCCAGCTGACAAGTTTATGTTACACAAAATTACTAATTGCTCACATCACATAGCAGATTTCTAACAAAAGCTTAGGGAAGCTTTGCAAAAGTTTTTGCTCAAAAGTTCACTCAAGGGCATTAATTTAAAAAGATAAGCACTCCAGAAGGAATACCTGCTTTAAACAATGTCATGCCAAGCAATTTTAATCACATTATCTGGGCTGGAGATGACCCAGGCACACCAGGCTTAGAACACACGGAGCTGCTCTGGGCTTCCACCCTCGCAGTTAGGGCTGTGCCCCACACAACTGGCACTGGGATAGGATGATTTGGACTGATATGCTTAGCTGAGCCTTAGGAAACACAGCTACAAGGCACAAATCACACAGTACTACAGACCTTTCCAGGCTCACATTCTGTCCCATCAGCCCAAGGTGTGTGTTGGGTTCGACATCCCTTGTGAGCACCATCGACGTTGATACACCAAAGTCGTCGACACTGCATCTGCTTAAGTGATTGAAAAGATCAGAGTATTAAGTATGAGCCACAGGCCTTCCCAGATAAATGATTCTCTATGAAACTATCCCCCCAGGATTTATCGCTAACTCACAAGCTTGACAGTAAGTTGATGGAGTGTGAGCCTGCCATTCCTCCAACCCCAAGAGACCTTATTTTTGCTCTGGCAAAACCAGGAAAAGCAAGGTGTGAAATTTCACTTACCATATAGGGGCACACTTGAGATCCGGGTCCAAAAATTAACTCACATTGCTTGTTGACATCATAAATCAGCCCCGGGAGCTGCTGAGGCAACGTGTAAGTTCTTGATGAAGGTTCATCAAGCAAACACTCCCCATAACCAGTGCTACAACACAAATCAGAAAAATGGTGTTAAAACAGGAGGCGATGAGATTAAATCCCATTGGTGTTTGCCCACATTAGCCTCAGGGCAGCTGCGCACCACATTTGCCATATTTGACAAGCACTACAAGAACTACTGCAAACTCAAGCACAGGAGGGTATGTTACCCATCCACCACCACCCAGCAACCATCCACCACAGCACAGTCAACTACCCTGGCAAAAGCATTTCTGAATGTGCACAACCTGCATTTAGTGGCTGAGCAAGCACTGGTACATTTTTATACACAACTCAGAAAGAAAAATCATTGATTAGCGGAACTGCTCAAGGGACTGAGCTCCTGGATTTGCCAAAACACCATCGTGGCTCTTGTTCTGTTCCACATCAGCACACACAGGAAGACATCACAGCAAAATGGGTGATCACTGTGCATCAAACTGACCCGTGGGCTCCTGGAACGGTGTTCCCACCATGGATTAGTGCCAGGGCTTTATCTTGACCTGTGGAGCAGAAAGGCAGATTCAATCTGCCTTCTAAAACACAGCTCTGTATCTGGGCCACGGGGCTTGGAAAAGTCACTCTTCAGGTTTGAGGAGCGCACACATTCCTTAAAAGCAATATCCATGGGGGAAGACTTATTCTTCCCCATCGAGAGGCTGGTCCCTGCCAGCTTATCATGAGGCTGAACTGGCAGGGACTGGATGCCAGGGGTGCATTCCTGCTCTATGTAAAGGATGTGTGCACACACAAATCCCTCTGATTTCCTCCAAATGCTGCACACTAGGACTTCAGCATTACTGAAGGACTCCACAGGACACATGCACACGTAAAAACAGCCCAACACATGCATATGCAAGGCCCTTACTCCAGAAATTCAGTGATGTATTTCCTACTGCATTTTGACCACATCCAGGGATTGGTGTAGAAATTCAGTGTTGGCGCCATGACGTGCTGTTGATTTTTACCCCCATCTTCCTTGCACTTATGATTGTCGTCGTGTGGCATGTTAAAACTAAGAGAAAAAGAGCAGCGAAAAGTAGAGTCACTTAAGAGGCAAATGTCAAGTATTTAGCGTAGCAAGAGCAACACTGTGAACTAAATGCCAGCAAACCCAAGAATTTTTCCTACATATGCTGCTGACAGATACTACAGAATAAAAGTATTAATATGCACATATTCACAAGTGTCAACAAACATTGCTCAAACAGGGTTCCCAGTGCTCATCTGCAAAAAGCTGTGCAGCACCCTGCTAAGCTCTCCACACCGTGACTGCATATATTTAGCCACACAAATCCTCAAGGGAGCCTGGAGCAAGACGCAATTCCAGCTGCAGTTTCCTGTTCAGCTGATGGTTGCTATCATGCAGACAGGCTGGAGTCTGGCTCCACCTTCATAAGAATGGCAAACACTCTGGAATGGAGCCATAGAGCCAGGAGTTGATCTGAGGGAATATGTTTTTGAAGGAAATGAATGACTTGAGCCCACCAACCACTGCTGGTTGAAGACTCTTGGGCACAGCAGCAATACCCCTGTGTGGGATGCGAAATGTTTTCCAGTGCAGTTGAATGCCTTGGGCCACGCTGTTGCCTAAATAGCCCTGCACCAGGGATAGACTTGGCCCTTACATTTATGTGGCAGGTTTACAAAATGCCATCGAGCATCGATATCAGCAGAAACCCAAGCAAAGTTTGCAGCACATGACATCTTGAAGAATGTGGTAAATACACGAACGGAGACAGAATGGCTTAAAGCACTGTGCTGTTTGAAGTGGAGAAGGGGAAATGACCTGGTGTGATCCTGTATTCCAAGGCTGGGGAGTTTATATTCCATTAACATTACTTCCAACAAACCACCTTTACGCTCTATAAAAGGGCACGGAGGCGTTTCCTGCTTTGGAGCACCGCTAACCCCTCCTGCAGCTGCCCTGCAGCTCTGGGGCAGCATTAGTGAAGGAATTAACCACAGGTTAGGTGGGGGGAATGCCAAACCATTGGGGATTTTCTGTCAGGAAGTCTCATTTAAACAAATACTACTGTGGTTAAAAATAGAGTGTCTCAGCCAGCTCTCCGTAAAGAAAAACAGAGTTTAAAACAATGAGAGATCTGTTCCCAAGTACTCATCCATCCCATACCTACAGACCCCCACTGCAAACCAGGCGTGAGATGGCTTGGGACTGAACCAGTTGCCCAAGGGTTGTAGCCACAGGGTAAAGGACTATGTTATCTAAGATGATTTTTCTCACTACCTGTGAGAGTAGTGAGAGTCAAAAGCGATCAAAAGAAATTTCCACTGAAGGAGGTGTATCTTGAATGACACCACCTCTGCTGGGGATGTCCAGCAGCACAAGACTTTCCCTGGTGAAACAGTTCAGGAGGTGGGCCAGCCCCATCACCTCCTTCCTAGATGCCCTGGGTAAATTCCTCCTCACACGCAGCTGCTGCACTGCCTTCAATAGCACATGTGGCTGTGGGATGAGCTGTGGCAGGCTGAGGACCTGCCCTCAGCAGAAACTTCAGTCTCAAAAAGTAGTCAAAATGTGCCTGTGTCACTCGCCCTGGTCCTCCCCAAGGCATCCAGCACCTCCCAGCTCCAGCCAAATCCTGGCTAGTCCCAGTCAACTGGCCAGGACACCATTTGTGCTGGGGCAGATTCTGCTGACATCCACACGTAGATGTGAGAAGACACAGTAATAAGGGACATTTTGTCAGCTCTCCTCCCTTGCTTAGGTGCTGCTTAGGGTACTCTTTCGTTCATCCTCCCCAAAACATGGCCCTGTTGGTTTTGCTGCTCTCAGATAGGCTTCAGAGTACCCCACAGTTTCATCTTTCTCGGTGGTGCACCTTCTACCCAGGTACATTTATCTCCTCTCAAATAATTAGGCTCAGCAGGTACCAATTCCCAGCCTGGCTGGCAAGACCTATTTAGCACGAATCTTGGGCTATTTAAATGTAAATGTATTTACATAAAACATACACATGGCCAAGTTCATGTGCTATTGTGAAAGCAGTGCTCAGTCCGTTATCTTCACTAATTGAACAGCTCCTGTATGGGTCACAGACCGTGCCCAGCTCTGCCAGACCTAGGAGAGAACAAAGAGGATTACAAAAGAAAAAGAAATGTCACCCATGGTTCAGCACAGGCAACTAACATTGTCACTACAAAAAAAGTTGCTAAAAGACAAAGAAAAGGTTTTTCTTACCCAGAGTATCACATTTGTTGTGCGCTCTACAAATATCCTGTCTGAAAGCAGAACAGACCTGACACATTAATTTTCAATGCAGCAGTGAGTTAAGGTACAAGTACAATAACAACAGCAGCCAAAACCAGCTCTTGGTCCTTCAAGGGACCTTCTCATGCGGGTTTGCCACATCATCCAAACTAACTCCCTACCACAGTCAGAGTTTTTTCATCTTATGCTGAACCCATGGGCAAACCTTAGACAGTCCTGAACCTCTCAAAGTCATCTATTGCTATGGTGGACACATCATCCCAATTCTGCTCACAGTTACACCACTTCCACAACTGCAAATGTGCTTACACCCACATCAAAACCTGAACCTTTCCCATGGCTGGATGTATTACACACTCACAGTCCCTGACACACGACTGGCTACAGTTGTTATGAGAATATTCACCACACCTGGTAACAAGCACAGCTGTATCATGTCGAAGGTGACTTCCTTCTGGGTGGTTCTGGGATTGCTGCCACTGGCAGAAGTTTTTTAATGTAGTCTGGGCATTGTAAGATATTGCAGGACCATCCTGACAAGCAACACACAGAAAACAGGTATTTTAATTATGCATCACAATGCTCACTACAAATGCCATTGCCAAACAGAAGGTGAAGAAAATCACTGCCATTACCTGCTCATTATGTATCACGACCAATTTCACAATAACAATATTAATTAAATTTCCAATGCTTGGATCTTTGTAGATAGAAGCCACCTGTTGCAAAAAGCAATATTTGTAATTATTGCTAACATTCAAGGAAACAAACAATTAAGAGAACACAAGCATGTCTTCCATTTTGCAACTGTTTTTCTCCTGAGCTGCTCTTGTGCCCCACTCAGTGCTCTGATGCTGCTTGGAGAGACCTCCTGCCAGAAGCACAATTTTAGAATGAAACAAACCTGCTGGTATCACAGAAACCCAGCATTTCCTTTTGCTTTATCACACATTTCACCAAATTACAGGATCATTCTGCTCTGACATTCAAAGACCACCAACCAAGACCATCAAAGGCAACTCCCTCTCTCGAGTGCCTGATTTTGACATGGACAGTTTTAGACCACATATTCACTGCATTTCTACCCTCAAACAGAATGAACATCGCTCCAATGACACAACTGTGCAGGGTACTCCCTTCCAGTCACTCTGCATCTACAGAGCTGCTTATCTGGGGACTACACTACTGCATCCTAGTACCAGCAGCTATGAAAATGCTTGTCCTCAGCCTGGAAAGCCAACTCTACAATTATGCCAAGGATCAAGGTGACCACAGGCTCTTTCTCCTTGCAAAAGCAAGGGAGATGAGGCAACTCCATAACCTATGAGCATCAGTCCCCTAAAAGGCACAGGGCCCAAAGAACCTTTTTAAATTCAGCTATTTCACATGAGTTTTAATAAAAAGAAGAGTACAGTGTGTGGACTAAAGGGCCAGTGATATTTCTCATGCTGCCTGGCATTCAGAAAGATGGAAGAGGTGCGGGAAGGATTGGGAAACGCGATGGCTCTGGGAAAGAAGACTACAACCAATATTTCCCAGCCAAGTTTTACCAATTTTTACTGCAATCACAGCATTATCTCCATGCCTAGCCAAGGCAAACTAATGGTGTTGCACATGAATGCAGAAGAAATGGGCTCTGTGACCACTGGAGAACGATCTGCGGGTGGATCTGCTCCCCCTGGTTGAATACTCACTATTGACATCAGTGTTAAGACGTAGTGCTGGAGGTTGGCCCCATGGTAGGCGACCATCCTGCTGTCAGCCACCACCATCACCTCCACAAACCGCGGGTAGGAGAGAAACCGCTTCGTTCGCTTGTGGCTCTTCTTGTCACCGACGGTCCCAGTCTTGTTGCTGTCGCCAGAAAAAGAATTCACTTCCAGGCTGTGTTTCAACATCTCCACGTCAGATAATATGCTGCTTTCTGCCCACTGCCTTCTCCAGTGTTTCCGCTTGTTCTTTTTGTGACTGTGCTCATGATCTACGGTTGAAAAGCAGATAAAAACAAAGCACGTTCCGGAGTGAATAAAAGTAATACCACATGCACGTTATGTCAAAATACCTATTATTAGTTCAACAAGGAGTTAGCAGCTAACTGAAAGAGAAGCATTCTGTGGAAGCCCACCACGTAGTCCAACACCCAAGGCTTAATTTTTAAAATCATCTTGGGGAAGCCAGTGGCACTTAGAGGTGGACGTTCCCGTCAAGGCTTCCCTCCTTGCCCGTGCAGGAGGGACGGAGCCTGGCAATGGTAATTAGCCACCGCAGCGGCAGCGTGAGGATTCTGGGCACGTCCAAGGTGGCCAGGAAACCACAGGAAACAAAGGTCCAAATCCTGTATTTCTAACTCAGGCATGAAGGACGGCAGGATTTGGCCTTCATAGTGAAGCAATTATATATGATTTATTTCTGTCTCTAACAATAACACGGCTGGGCTTCAGTTCCCCCCCTCCCTTTATTATTCTGTGCTACAGGAATGGTAAAGGTCATCTAATAGCACAGCTGCCACTGGTGAAAGAATAGAATTCAGGAAGTTTCACATATACTGCTTTTGATATTCAATTAGGCCAAACATAAAAGCAGCCTGAAAATATACTCCATGCTGATACAAAGACGACAAAGTGAAGATGGAGAACAGGCAAATAAAACATATGGAACATGTACAATTAAGATTTACCATCTGATTAGTATGTAATTATAGTATTATTTAAATGTAAGAGCAAAATCAGTCTTATTTGATGCCACTTAATTTTTAATCAGTTCATCATAGGAAGTAGCTAATTGAATGTGATTCATCCATGAGAGACTGTTCGTTTCTGCATTTAATATAAAGCCAGATCTGAACTACTTATCTACAACTCCAGGCTACAACCCTCATGCTCTTTGTAGCTTTAGTTTAATTTCTTCATGGTGGTGAAAAATATCACATTTCCTTATCTGACCCACTGAGTAGGTTAGAGGAAGCATAATATTAGGGAACAAAGGAATATTCAATGCTCAAACAAGATTGAAATGATAGGAAACTTCTTAGTTATTTTTCCTGGGTACTTTCCTTTTAGGAACAGTTGTAATAATTTCCAAAAAGAAATACATTCTCTAATATCACGGCAGGCAAAGCAGATCAACCAGCTTCTACCTACGTGAAAAACTCTATCCTTCTGCCCTATGTGTAAACAGGCAACAGAGTATTTAAGAATTAAATCCTGTTTACTGTGAACTACCGAAGTCCTATAAATTCCTCTTTCTTGATATGGTCCAGACCACCTTAATGCAGCAGAGAGTCCGCAGTTATTTGAGTAAGAATTCGAGAAAGCCAATGGCATTTGTGGTTATAATTGGATTGCCCTAGTTCCTCTGCTCTAATCAATGCCCTTGTGTTGGCAAGGTTGTGCTCTCATGCTGGCACAGCTTCGTGGGCAACCATGACATTATCCTGACTCATTCAGTGCCAAACAGTGTGGGAAGCCAACTATGCATACAAATAACTTAAAGGTGAGAAGAGGACCAGACTGAGGAGAAAGCACTAACCCCAGTCCTTCAGCCAGTTCCCCTCCTCTCTGTGCCCTCAGCCAGCCACTTAAATTTCCCTTTTAAATAGCTAACTTCCAAAAGGAGCAGGTGCTCAAGGAAAAATGTGTTAAGGATGAGGAGATGCTCAGCGAGGCTCTGAGAAGGACTATGGTGCCAAGCCAGAGCTCTGCACCCTCCTCTACCATGGCTCCACAGAACCCCAGATGGGACCATGAGGGCTCAGGTGCCTTCTTCTCCAGTCTGCCTAGCAGAGGGAGGTTAGATGGCAAAAGAAGAGGGAAATGCAAAGATTCTTTGCAGACACCTATTACACAGAAGGCGTATAAAAGAAATTAATTGATATTCACTGGGCTTGCAATGAAATCCTGCAGCTGGTATTGCACACGAAAAAAACCGCAACAAATCCACCCATAACCCAGAGAGGCCCACGTGAAATGCCATGTCTGGTTCCAAGAGCCCTGACCTGTCCCACCATGCAGAAGAATCAGAGCCCAACACAGCCAGATATACTCAGCACAGAGAAAAAACTACCTTCCTTTTTGTTGCAGAGGTCTGGCACACTGTCACAGAGTCATTTAGGCTGGAAAAGACCCTTAAGATCATCAAGTCCAATCATTAACCTAATGCTGCCAAGTGTCAGTACAGTATCAGTGTTCTTCCCCCATCCAGCACACAAATCAGACAAATCATCCCTTCAAAAACATCGTATTTTTTTCCAGGCATGAAGCCACTCCAGCACTTGGAGCGTGTTATTTGGACAGGTCATGTATTGTGTGTTTGCCAGCCTGGTTACTGGAAAACCCGGCAGCAGTGATGGGGACGCATTGCACACAAAGCCACTCCCGGACTTCGATAGTGGTGAGATGTTATCTTCACCCATCTTTCTTGCATATAACTACACTCCGAGATGGTGCACATTCACCTGTAAAAAACTGAATGCTAATGGCTGTGCACTGCTCTCAGCCCATCCATAAAACCCCCACATTAATGGGAGCTGCGCACAGGCACTGCCAGTACTCCCTGTGCCTGATGCTGGTGATATCCCGCTCCATTACGATGGCCACAACACCAATGCTCTCACTGAATGGTGCAACTTGCTGTCCTCTGATCAGGCAGAAGTGAAAATCTCTCACGTTACACAAGAAAACTGCAATTTTACAGCTACAGCTTCCTACTGCCGCACACACCACCAAAAAAAAAGGGTGTGATACTTTTACCAACTTGTTTTCCTTTTTTTTTCTATTGTGTTAACATATTAACAGAAATCAAGAAGAAAAATGGTTTGCTTGGCAGGCTCTCAATTCCTGTAATGACCTGAAAAACATCTACCTACACATGGCAGTAACTGGACGGGTTTAAGCAACAAAACATTATTTTTTTAATTTGCAGAAAAACCAAACACTTTAAACCACACAAACTACAGATCAATAATTCAAGTATCAGATGAGCCCATGCACTGATTCTACAGTTCATATTCGTTTGAGAGGTAGATAAAAGCTGCTGGCATAATGTCCATTTTACTGCATGCTTTACTAAGACAATCTATGCTATTTCCGCTATCTTTAAACAGACCTGGAAGTGTATCTTAATTCTTTTTCTGCCTGGTTTCTTCTTTGTAATGTGGGACTTACAATGGAGACCAAATTCTGTGACTGGGATATTCCCTCCTGATGGCATCTTCCCACTCCTGCTATTTATTTTTGCTTGCAGAGGAAGCCCCAGCCCAGAACTCATCCAGCTGATTTATGGATGATTCCTGTTGGTTAATGTACTTTGGATCTATCACAAGAACGAGGGCAGGGAAGACTCTGGCCCTATATGAGTACTTCGCCTGCATGAAAGGGTGACAGAGCAGAGTCAGGAACTGCTGTTGAAATAGTAGCTATTGTTACATTAAAATCAAAGATTAAAAGAAGGAACAATAGCTTATCCCAACAGTTCTAATCCTCTGCATTTCTACGTTAACTTGTCCTTGGAATAGAAAGCAATTTGCTCAATTAAATAAGACATGTAACAATTCAAGCAATTCCAGTTCAGCTCCAACTTCGTAACAGCTGCACATAGCAGGGAAAAAAAAATATGAAAGAGAGAAAGAGAGTAAGCAGGAGAGGGGCAAAAAAGTCTGTTTCTTGAGCTAACAACATTAACATCATCTCCCTGCTAGAAAAGGAGCATGATTCTTTCAAACCAACTTATGATAATAACTTTTCTGAATGTGTGACTTAAGATTTTTAACAAAGTTTGCTGCTCATTGGTTTGCCCACAACACTCCCAGACCTGCTCTGATCCAGTTGTGCATATGAGAAAACTATCATTTGGAAGTTAATTATTTATTGCACACCTCCATAAAGCAGATCAAAATTCAGCTGAGCTCCCTCAGGGCAATCAGTCAGCATGTGACCCATCTCCCTCGACTTGAGCGGGAGCCCCAGCAGCAAACCCTGCCCAAATGCATCGGTACAAGTTCCAGCTACAGTGGCTGGCTGGAATTTACTGCCTGTAGCTGGTACAACAGCAGCTGTCAAAGTGGCTGCCATCACTTGGAAAACAGAGGGGAGAGGCAAAATGGATTTTCCTTCATGCAGAGATCAGACTGGCTGAAATCAAGCCAGATTTTTAGGCTCTTCTTGCCAGGAAATGGGATGGAAACTGGCTCCTCTTTAGGACAAAAACAGGTCCTAAGCTGGACCAAAGGATTTTTCTAGCCCTGGTTCTTTTTTTAGTTCTCTATCAGTATGTTTTATATCTCTATCTACCTTAAAATATATCTTCAGATATATCTCAGATGGATTTGCACGAGGCCAAATTCTCACCTCTGTTTCTGTGGGGGTGCTGTTGCAGCAAGCATAATCCAGAGCTGAACACACCTTCTGACAGCAGCTTCTCAGACAACAGCCAGGGATGGAAACATAACAGGGGACCAGCCCCTGCCTTACTCTGTATCACACTGATATGACTAGTTCTATGAGCAGGACTAATCCTGCCTTCCCTCTGGATAGCTCCTCGACTGTGCAATCAGACCTGTTCCTATAGATGGAAAGGGAAAACGGATTTTACTGACAGAGGTGAGATAATGGCCTACATCAGGAGGGAAATGAAGGATCCAGGCCAGCTGGGATCCAAAGAGAGATATTCTGCACTAAGGGTGTAAATGAAAGTTTGCTCAATTTTTCTAATCTGCAAACCAGAAAATGTTCAAGTGCAAATTAATCTGAACACACACTCAACAGAGATCAACTGGAGTTTCAACCTTCGTCAAGAAGAACTGCACAAAACTGCCCAGATTAAGCTTTAATGGTTAGAATTACTGGCAATGCAATAAAATATATGCTCTTTCACAAGTGCCACTCTTAGAGCAATACAAAGGAGGGAAGCTGTGATTTCTCCATTTTGTTCACACTTTCCTTTGAATTAGGAAGCAGTCTGGTCTCAGAAGAGTTCCCTCCCAAA